GACAATCAGTATGACCGCCTGACGAAGCAGATGGGCGAGATGCGAGAGAGTTTATGGACGAGTCGACGATTTATCCAATGATGCTGGAGTTCTACGTCGCCACTTGCTAGAGCTTCAGGATGAGGTTGTAGCCCTCTGAGGCGATATAGTAGGCAGGGGATGGGGTGACAGTTGGGGTGACGGAGAGGGTGACGGGAAGAGGGGTTACAGACAGTTCTGGATGGATGATGATGATGATTTGGAATAATTTTTGTTATCTGTGGAACGGGAGGATAGGACGGAGGCGGTGGCCTCGGCAGGTACGAGAGGGGTAGTTGGGGAGGACACGACGGACGCAATGGTCCCGATGAAGGTGGCGGGGGAGTTGGGGAGCCACGAAGGGGTCGTGATTCCCAGCTCAAATGAGAGGATTGAGGAGGTGACCCCGATGGCGGTGGAGGTGAGGAGCCCCGATGAGACGATGGTCCTCAGGGTGGAGGACGAGCGTACGCCTGACGTGGCCAAGGAGAAAAAGCGTGTCGTGGACGACCCGAAGCTGTTGGTCGGTAAGAGGGTCAGGTTGCCTCGTAGTATATCGTTTCTCCCTTCACGGTCGAGCGAAGAGGAAGACGTTCTTCGACGGGATGTACTACAATCTCTTCCGAGAGGTGGACATGGTCAAATGGAAAGCATTCGAGACGAAGTAGAAGAGGATTATGCCTGGGTAAGTATTTTACTATTTTAGTATAGTACGATACATTATCTCATCTATATTTCTTTTATTATTTTTTCTGTTTTTTTTTTCAGAGATAGCCGCAACGTAGGGGGATGACGATCTCGGAGGCCTATAAGTTGTTTCACGACATCACCACTTTGGTGACTTGGCTCTCCGACGATGTAAATGAAATAGTCATATTGTTATTTATTATTTATACTTAATTTTTTTGTTTATGAAATGAAATAACTCCCTCTATTTTTTATTAGTGTTTCCTGATGTAGCACATCGACCTAGCCATAGACTTATTACGTGATTGAGCTAGAAGATATCAAAGATCATTCGACATTCCTGTCCGACTTATATTGAGCACTGAGTTCGTACGTGTCGTTATTATTGAGTATCAATCGCTTCATCTTATGGACAATGAGTACGTGCTGCCCGAATATATGGCCGAATGGGTCGTAGGAATGTGGCCCTGCGTCGGGGGAAAGAGATATGAGGGTTGTGCGCATAATACATTGATCGTGAATCATTATTGCATTGCCATGGAGATTGTTTTTGCTGACTCCACTATATATGTGTACGACTCCGACCATTCATGTCTGACACAAGGCCATCTCGAGCATAATTTGCAGTCGCTTTCAGTGATCGTTCACTTGATGGCTGCCCAAGCAGTGTGAGTGTGAATGACGGCTAGCCATCGTGCGGGACATGACGACGATGAGACAGTCGAGATCGTAAGTATTTATATTTTGAATTTAACTTGAAAACTTAGTTTTTAGCTATACAGTACCGAACTAACACATTATTATTCAATTGCAGGGGTGATTCAACATGTTTGCAATAAAATACATTGATTTTTTAAGTATATGACATAAGGTTGATAGAATCAACCAATCATGGATACAAATTTGAAGGAATAAATTAGCGTGCGATTTGTACAAATTCGAGTGTGATCCGTAAACACTGTATATTTAATTGTTGATTCATTTATCAAATAATTGTAAATATTGTACATTGAATTTTGTCTATTTATTTATGTATGAAATAATTGTAAATATTGTATACTTATTTGTTTATTTACATACGAAATAATCATTAAAATTGCAAAAAATATATATAAATTTTGTGAATACTCATGTACGAATTAATTATGAAGAATGCTAAAATGAATGTAAATATTGTTCATTTAACAGCAATACCATTACATACTCGATTAATTGTCATTCAGGGAAATCTGACTCGTACAAGTTTGGCGAGTATGTGCGACTGTTTTACATCTGTCGTACTTACGCGGTCGAGAAAACTTTTCAGTAGAGAGTATTCTAGAAGTTCGTGGACACCTGGTCCATGCGGTTCAACTACCAGTGGCGACAAAGTATTAAGTGAGAGAATATGGTCAGGAACTTCCCAATCGGCTTCGTTCGATAGGGAAAATATAGTCTCAGCATACGCTGCTCTCCAATAATCAGCCGTGTAATAAGGAGAGCATAATGTTCTCGCTGCAAAGCCTCTGTTCATAGCTACCGTAACTGCATGCTCACATGAAAAACTCTCCAACTGAAATCGAGTACAAGTGCATGTATTGTCAGTCAGGTCCACCATGTATGCCACATGATGTGTACATTTTACGGAGAAGCACAACTCGTCCAACTGTTCCAAAATCAACTTTCTCACAACATATGCAGCCTTGAACAGTTTATCCTCTTGAGTCGGGGCTAATACGCTCGTGCAATTCTATGATTTCGTACGTCGATTGTGAAATCACTACTGCAGCTTGGTAAGGATGTTCTCTATCATTGTGAGAATTAGCAACTCTCGATCATTCTTGAACAAAGTATTCAGAGACTCCACGTTGTTCGACGTCATCAAGTTGTACCGACGTCCTAGAAATGTGACCTTGCCCAATGTTCTATTCCAATTTTTGTAAGATAATCTCATACCGGAAACGACTTACTTTCTATCTCGACCATAAACTTATAACATTCCTCCACACTATAAGCTTCGACCGCTCTCCTGAATGTGCAATGATGCTTTGGCCCCGATATCTAGTCTTCAAATTATCCTGTATGTGGTACATGCAGTACCCATGATGTGCCCGGGGAAAACTTGAACGATAGCATTTATTAGAGACTAACCCAGATCAGTTACGAAGGTAAGATCATCGACTTTTCCGATCAGTTTCCTAAGTTTCGTAAAGAACCACATTGACAGATCATTATCGCTGTCGACTACGCCGAATGCTAGTGGGTAAATCTGGATGTTGGGATCTTGACATGTAGCATAATTAGCTTGCCCCCATATCTCGATTTCAGAGTTATACCGTCGACTAAAATTACGGGTCGCATCGCATTTTGAAATTCTCTAATGTATTGTCCAAGAGCCAGAAAAAGTACTTAAAACAATTCTCGTCCTCCATCTCAAAGAAAAAAGTGGAACCGTGATTATTTGTCCCCAAATTATGGCAGTACCTGGCTAATTTAGCACAACTTTGCTCGGTTAAGCCCATCAAATCCTCCAACGTGTATTCTTTGGCCTTCGGTAACTCATGACCACTCCGTACTATTGTCGAACGTTGTTAATGATGTCTGAAAGTCTGTAGATTGTTCATGGGTCGTGATACTTGTGCATTATCTGTCGACCAATAGACCATGACTGAGCTTGCCTGTGATCGTTTTGACAAATCCCCAATTCGCAAGTATGTTCCCGTGTATACTTGTGAACTACAAATGACTCATTCTTATTCATCTTAGTCATTCGCAGCCGCTAACGAAAACTTTCGTCGACGCAAACAAGTGTCAACAACGACTTGTTTGATTTCTTTACCTTGAACTGAAAGTTGAATTTCAATGCCAGCAGGTGCACAACTTCCTACAAATCTTTCTTCATTTCAAATAGTTGCTCAACGTGCAGATCTTCATCATCGAGAGCCGCACGTGAAGAATTAGATGACGGTCCGCTCGTTCCAGCTCCTGAGCTCCCACCTCACTCATGTCTCTGACGGGATAAAACAATCAAATTCTCATTTGTAAATTTATTTACATTTTCGCTGTCCTGAACTACCGACTAAATTATGTGTGTTACAATGATGTCACGATGAGGAACAACTGTCTCAGGAATATTAGCTTCATCCTTGCGAACTATCTCCAATGTATCCCAAAAATCATTTACATTATCACCAGCTTCATCTGAATGTTCATTTCTACCTTCCGCGTTGTCCTTCCTCACTAAAGCACGTAAATCGGTGTCATTTGCATTTTGTTTAACTTAAACAGATAATTCACTTCAATATCAGATGTAACCTTCATATGCGGAATAGAAAATGGCAAATGCTCTTTGAATTGAAATCTCAGTACCATATTGTATCAAGATGTATCGACGTTTAGCTTGTTCTATATATCATGGTACAGTTTTTCGTACGATGTAGTCTCGTTTATATGTGTTAGCATACCACCTTGTACGTCATTCGTCTATTTCCATGCCCATTGATTATTTTCATCCAATTTCAAATCACCAAAATAACAAATTAGGAGTACAATCATCATATGTGCATGACAAACAGAATTTGTAAACATTCTTTCAAAAATTTGACTCACATTAAGAACAGAAAATTATTAAAAACAAAAATATATATATTAACAGTCGTCTAACGGCCGAATGTTTCACAGTCGACTGTTAACGGCTGGCTGTTAACAGCCATCCGGCTGTTTTTTGTAACAGTCAAGTTGAGACCATAACAGCTGACGGTTAATCGAAAAGTAACATGCAGATATTTTTTCGTTCGTGCTTAAAAAATTATACATCTGATAAAAAATTTATCTACCTATTATTTTATGTCGAATCTTAATTTATCGATTAAAAACGTATACACATTTAACGAAAACGAAATTAGACATACGTAAATATACTTACCGATTCTAAGTAACTGACAGAAAATAATTTTTTTCTTCAACTATCGATATTTTTTAAATTTTCAGATTGAAGAAGATGAGAGGATTTTTATCTATGTTGGAGCTAATTTTGAAATTTTAAGTAGAGTGTGTTTGGTTTTTATTTGTTAACTAAAAGAGTAGTATTGTCTTTTCAACTAAACCATATTTTGTAATTGTTTTATACACTTAAGAACATTTTTATCTTTTGAACTCAAATAGCCACTGTAAAAATATGCAATAAAGGAAAAATCAAAGTGGAAATTTGGGCATTTGATTGGGCTTTTTTTAAAATTACCCCATCTGATTCCACCGACTCTACTAAATATGAGAAATTTGATGCTAGACTCGAATATGAGAAAAACGAGGTGGAAATGGATGTTGAAGTTGAAGTGAAGCTAGATGAAGAAAATGAAAATGAAATTAAAGAAAAGATGATCGATGATTTAATGGAAACAGAAGAAGCGGAAGGTGAAGCTCCATATGATGTTGTTCGAGAAATTGATGTGTATTTTGCTCCTTCTATTGATCCTAATACTAGGGTAATCAAGCTTCATTTTTTATTATTCAGTGAAAAGGCCATTTGCATTTTACTTTTGAAATAAATGTGCATACTGTCATAGTTAAATTGGACCATTTACTTTTAGGCTAGTATTATTAGTGGACTAGCCCAAGCCCTTTAATTTTAGGGTCGTTTTGTTGTATATATGGTTGTATTGAAGCTTTGGAGAGGGACGATGAATTTGGTGAATTGAATTGTGTCTTCCTTCTTCCTCCCAACTTCTTCTTCTCCGATTTTCTTCCCGGTTTCTCCAGCTTTCTCGTCTTCTCGGTACTTCTTCCCTTCTCTGCTATTTTTGTTCTCATTTATCTATTTCTGTTCTTCCTCTTCACTTTCCCATTACTGTCGTCTGTTCCTCCTCCTCCTCCTCCTCTTCTTCTTCTTCTTCTCTTCCATTTCTCTAAGTCTGGATTTTCTTCTTAATTCTCTGATTTTTTGCATTTGTCCTCCCCCTTTCTCTTTACATTTCACTATTGCATTGTAATTTCATTTCAATTAATAGATTTACAGCTTGGGTTATTGATTCCCAGCTGATTGCTTTCAATTGTTGGCGTTGATTTTGATTAAGTTCAGTAATTTTGGTTGAAGTTGAGCTTCAACCATAACAAATGGTATTAGAACAGCTACAATCCTTGGGTGTCTCTCGATTGGATATCATAAGGAAAGATTTTGATAGGATTCATGAGCGAATGATTTCAATATTGACTGAAATGATGGAGGCTAAATCAACCTTAAGCAGCAATGAAGCAAAGAACGGGAAGGGATTTAGTAGTTTCAAGAATTTTGGCTCAAAAAGGGTATTATCTGGTTTTCATAAATTTGAGTGCGTGAGTTGTTCTGATAGAGGGAATGAATTTTCTTCTTAAAAGAAAAGTAATGGGTTGTTAAATTTGGGTGGAAGCATTGAAGGTTTTGCAGCTAGTGATGTTGATATGATGAGTAAGTTGGATTTAGATTGTAAATGGGAAAATGAGATTTCGAATGTGAGAAGCAGTGAGGGAAATACTAGAATTTTGGATGATTTTCGAGATACTGAAGATGGTAAAGATTGTCATAGGGATGTCAAGGAGAGAAATGATGAAGGTGAGAAGATGAAGCTTTGTCAAGGTATGAGCATTCAGAGAGCGAAGATTCAATGTTTCGATGTTATAGTGATGATGAGAGGAAGCTTGATATATATTCTCAGAGGAATGTGCAGTTTCAGTATGAAGGGCCTCCGAAAAATGAATATCGACTTTTGGTTCAGACGATTGGGATGATTTTGTGCAAGAAAGTGTGGATCATAATCATGTTTCATTGGTGCAGTCATTATCTAGCTGTGTTGTCACTGACGACGCTGAATCCTATCCCATAGATATTGAAGAGTCACGTGGCGACAAGGTATTTGTGGAAGAAGCTGGTAGCAACAATGTTGAAAATGTAGATACTCTCGTGAAAAATAATGTCCGAAATTTGGGTTCTCTTGAAAATTTAAGTTTAGACCAAAAATATGTTGATGATTCTAAATCTAATTATGATGAAATGAGAGAGAAAGGTGATAAAACTGGAATGTCCACAATGAAAGAGGAGGGTATATTGGAGAGTGTTATCCCACCAAGTGATACTACACGTGAAGCAGTTTTTGTTGGATTTACTAATAGTCTACAATTTGATACTATCAAATTCGAGAACCAGGCAGATATAATCACAGTTAGGAAACTCTTTCCCAATCAGGGAGCTGTTTTGGAACCAACTATGCAGGGGCGTGACATGATAGACAGAGAAAGAACAAGAACTGGGAAGACTTTAGCATTTGGCATTCCAATCATGGATAAGATTACTCAATTCATTGAGAAGTATGGACGATGAAGGAATCCTTTGGCAGTAATCTTGACTCCAACCAAAGAACTTACTTGCCAAGTGGAAAAGAAATTCTATGAGTCTTCTCTAAATTTTAACACTCTATGCGTTTATGGGGGTATGCCAATTTTACATTAAATGGATTCCCTTAAACAGGGTGTTGATGTGGTTTTTGGTACTTTTGGACAAGCTATAGATTTGATTAAGAAGGGTTCTTTAAGTTTATCAGATGTGCAGTTTGTGGTTCTAGATGTAGTTGATTAGATGCTTAACGTAGGATTTGTGGATGATGTTGAGAAAATACTGAGATATATGTTGCAGAAGCATCAGACCATGATGTTTTCAGCTACAATGCCGAATTGAATAATAACACTTACACAAAAGTGTAAGTGTTATATCCTAGATCCAATCAACTTTGAACATAAATACTTTAAATATATAATTGATGCATATATGGCAATATCTATTATTTAATTGAATTAATATTCTAATAAATTAAATAATAGAATTCGTAGATTCAAGTCTTGGTGATTTGTTAATCACAAGGAGTTGTGAATTGTGAGATACAAATTACAAATGATTGAATCTTAAATCGTCCGTGATCGAAGTAATAACGAGATACGGATATCGTTATTACGGATAGATCATCGCGTGTGGCATCTTACTTATGAAGTAAGTAGCTGATCTCACAAGCTAAAGTGTAGTGACACTTGAATGAACACGTGGATGTTTTGTTATAGAACAAAACATTGGAGACCCGCTGAGAGATTCCACATGGATAACTATCTGAGTGTTAGTGGTTAATCTCTAA